GTAATGGCTGAATTACAGACCCACGTAATACAACATTAGGATAACAGAAGTCAAGCCCTTTGTTTGATATATCTTGGTAGAATGAAAGTATTTTGAATGTGTTTCATTGAAAAGGTAGTGTTGTTTGTCTAAGGTGCAAGAGAATGAACTAAGCCCACACATCAACATTAAAATAATGAATTAAGAAAAAGGACTACATTCGATGCTCATGGATTAGAAAAAAACATTTTTTTTTAAAACACACGCACAACTAAGTGTTGTGCTCCAAACTCCATACAGAGATATTAATTTTCCAGAAAATGTTGAAGTGAAAAAAATGTGTGAGCATGTTTTAAAAGTCAGACATGTATGTTTTCTCATGAGTGAAACAGTGGGTACCCGTACCACTGGTAGCTATCAAAGAAAAGGTGATAAAATCTTTGGTCTTGAGGGCTGAAATCTCCTTACATTGCAATCTAATCTGCTTACCTTAGAGGTGATTGTTCTGACGTTGATCTTGAAAGACACAGCTGTCATACGTCTCATTAAATACAAAAAAGGAAAGAGCCATACAAATTTTGTTATCTGGCCTTGTGGGAAGGTTAATAGCATGTCAGTGGATGTAAAGAGAGACCGCGGTTTGCATAGAAGGACTGAGCCCTGTTTTTGTTTCCGTGTAGTTGGCTGCCGTTGGAGTCATCTGGACAGGAAGCCTCCCACAGGGTGATGGCTATGAACAGTGTCTAAGGCAGCATTTTCACATCACCTCCGTGCTTATTTGTTTGAAAATGTGCGCAGGGGCTGGATGGAGTCTTTGCTGCTAATTGTCTTTGGGTGTCTTGCCAATGCACATGTAACCATTACAAATGCAGTGAAATAATATGCAGAGTCAAACTCAAGTGGAGTGTGAGGGGCATGGTCAAAGAGCTGGGTGCGTCTGTTGCAATTTCTGTATTAGAGATTTGAGTTATGATGCAAAAAAAAAAAAAAAAACGCAGAGTACCTGAGACAGCTTCAAGCCACTTATGCGCTATTTTATCTATTTCTAAGAGATGTTTGCTTTGCTTTTCCCCCAATGGAATGTTCATTTGACAGTGTTTCAAATAGAAAAATAAAACAGGATTATTTTTCATCTTAAAGGCTCTTTTCAGGGTAATATTTCAAAGACATGCTTTTTTCTTTTTACATATTATAAATACTTATGCTTAGTTTTCTCACAACAACCACCCAGAATCAAGTGGCTCAAAAGCGTAGCCGCCCCTATATCTGATACCACGTTTAACTTCTTTCTCTTCGGTAAATGATTGCTCTGAGTTGAAAGGGAAACCATCTTGTTTGATGCACACTAATCCACCGATGTCATTAACTTCCTATTAACTGGGTGTGATTTCTAGTTACAGTGAATTTACACTGTGCCATTCTCCATATTTTTCATCAGAAGCTGTTATTTGCAAGGGGGGGAAAAAGGGGCTATTATCTGTCCCAAACTCCACCCCTATAATTTTGAAAATGAATTCTCCACCCTCCCTGTCATCTTCCAATTACATTTCTCATTCTGCCTGGATTTCATGGTCACTTCACGGTTGCCCGTGTGTCTCTCTTCTGCTTCGTCCACCTCCTTTCTAGCCTGTCAATGAAACGTTGCTGCTTGCAATTCATGTGTGTGTTTGTCTGCCTGTCGGCTGAGTCCGTCAGGTTTGTATGAATATGCATGTAGCTCACTGGTAGCAGGTCTTAAAACTACATGTGAGTTGTCCGAATTAGTATAAGCCATTATACTTCTGATAAATGAATCCTCAGTGAGATCATCTATGGAGGACTTCTTATAAACCTTGAAAAAGTCTGCTGTACATATGTTTGGATGAGGATTTAATGGACTTGTTCTTTTTGAAGATTACTTTTCCTTGAAGAAAAAATAAATAAATATATATATATACACACACACACATTGCTTTGAATTACATGGAGTCTGTGGTGCTCATTGGGCAATGCATGATCCCTGGATTAGAGAATTGTATTAAAATTCCAAAGAAATACATCAGGCAGCCTTCAGAAAAAACTTGGCCTTGGGTTAGCATACGACCTTGTACTTATAACATGCTTGGAATTGTACAGTTTAAGTGGTGAAGAAATGGTTCTTTAAAAAAAAAAAAACGTTTTTGTATCATAAGCATTCAGCGATAACAAAAGCATTTGGCTCAAAAATTTACAATTTTTAGCCAAAACATTTGTTTAACACGCTTTCTTAGAATTTCTCAATTGCACAATTGTATAAACTATGCTGGCTTCCTGTATCCATATTATGTTTTTGCAGAGTGTCTGTTGGACTATTATATGCTCCAAATTTCTGATGTTGATATATTGTGCCTTGTATTTTAAGGAGGTGAAGTTTAAGAAAAAGACGCTAAAGGTGTTTGAGACAGGAAGTAACTAAATACACGCCAGCACAAAACCGTAATAGACCATTAATTGACTTCACAGCAAAGTTCCAGCCCTAAATATGTACAGCTGATGAATAGCCACACTTCATAATCTCCAGGACAAACAGCAACGCAAATGTTAGAAAAAAATTTAAGTATATGCCAAAAAATAATGACATAGACAATAGACACATAGGCATGGCAAATTCATTTTCGTAGAACTTTTTTTTTTACAATTCAATTATAGGTTTTATTCTAAACCGTATGGCGGAGAATGGGCAGAAAACAATCCTACTACCAATTCTTCCAATTAAGTACTTTGGTATGGGGCAGGCAAAGGAGAAATCGGAGTGCACGAGATGGGAAACACAGCAGAAATTAGGCAGGATGAGGATCTGCAGCATCCAGTGGGCTGAGGGAGACCGTGACAAGCTTCCCCTCTTGGCCAGATTAACACATCCAGAGATCTGTATTTAATGATGAAGGAAGAAGAGACAGAGTCACATCCTAAATGACCGTCAAGTCCTGAAGTTTTTCCTTGCCAAAGCTTCTAAATGTCCAATTTCTAAGGTATGCGAATGACATTTGGGATTTGTAACTGGCAGGAAATTTCTTAAACACACATTGACATTTAATTAAGTACCAGCTTTGGTAATTTAGTAAATGCTTTTGTGGTACTCGGTAACTCCAAGTGTCAGTACGTGACAGGCTGGGTTGAGCTATACACTGCTCTCTTTTTTTTTGCAAGACTTCTCTCATTGTACTTCTACAATAGCTGCGTTCCTAAATCCATTCACTTTATGTGAGTTGACAGCAATACAGATGGATTCATAGGTACTTTGATTTCCAGTTCCTTTGATTTGAAGTGTTTCTACAACGCAATCATGGCAAAACATCCACCACCCTAATGCTGATGCACACAAAAACAAAGTTATATTGTCCCGTTATATTGTGCCCGCTGCGCTTCTCTGCTGTTCGCACAGCGCCAGCCAAAAAACGTCCCCGCGTTCCCAGAGCCCATATCCCACTTTATTTGTCCGTCCTCCTTTCAGGGAACAAACACATTAAGGTTGAACACCTAATAGCTTCTGTGATGGATGCCCAGGCATAATGAGCTCTTTATGAGACTTAATACCTACTGTTAATCAATGGACATAGCAGGGCACTTTTGAATACTACCTTCCAAGCATTATAAAATGAGCCCTCATTGAATAGATTGACTCACGTAATGTAACCCTTTCTCTTTCCTTTTTTCACTCTCATTTCCCCTCCATTGCAGCAGGCAATTAGCCACATCACATATTCTAAATCAAATGGCTGTTCTTCACAGACACTCTCTCCTGCTTTGCTATGTAATAAACGCTGACCAGTCTGTGAGCTATTGTGAAGGGAATACAATGGTGAGCTGCAATGCTGTGGATGGAAAATTTTCCTTGGTCTCAATCAATGGAACTATGGATGACTTATTTATTGCCGTAAATATCAGATCAAGGCAGCTGCTGGAAGTGTTCTTGTCAATTACTGCTGGTTCTTATATTGCTGTACTTTGATCTTTAGCTCTTAGTGTAAAGCATTGCTCAAGGGTGCTCCACTAGTATCAGGCTTTATTAACATCATAATTGTGTACGATCAGCATCCACAATTGTGAGGTGGCTGCGATTAAAAGCCGGTGTTTGGTGTAGAGATGCATATATGATGTCATAATAGACAGGTTCAGATAAATGACTGAGGTGAAGATATTTCATAAGCTATGTCAAGTTCAGATGTCACCATTTCTTCCTGTACTTCTGTATTTTCATCTTTGTGTGTTTACAGTTTTGCTTGTGTATGTGCGTATGCATTTGGGTGTGTTTGATTATCCCTTACAGCCTCTGAGGGAGCCAGATTCATTCTCACTTTTATAATGAGGGAGAGACTTCCAATGCCCTCAAGTCATTTCTCCTCTTCTTCCGTCCTTCCTGTTGCATCCGGCCGCTACTCTCTCTTTGTTGCCTTTAACATTGTCCTAATCTAGATTATCTATTTGTTTTGTCATGATTCCTTCAGTCTGTTCTCTGATTTCTGCTCGCTTTTGTTGTATTGATGCATCACTGACATCAGTTCAAGCTGGCTAGACCGTGTTTGAGTCACTCTGTTTTTATGTAATAGATTTGAATGCTGGCCTCTTCCATTTTTCATCAGCGCGGTCGATGGCTGACTATCTCTGTGGACCAGAGACCTGGCAGCTCTGCTTCTCCCCACAATAGCCCAACTTATCGTGCATCAATACACCAATGTGTTGTATATTTGCCTGGTTGCTCAAATGTGCATTTGCAGTGCTCCTTCTTACCTAACTCTCCCTGTATATTCTGCAGAGAGTGCAAGGCCGAAGTGAGTAACAGCAGTGTGTCCATTAATTCTATACCAACCTTTTCTGTGTTTTCCACCCTCTCTATCTTTCCTTCTTCCTATCTCTGTTTTCCAGGTGACTGAAGCAGAGACTGACATTAGGGAGGCCCTTTAGGAAGGCCCTCCATCTCTCCCCACAGCCCTCTCCTCCTTATCCTCAACGTCCATCTCTAACCCCTTCATTCCCGCCCCCACCTCACCTCCGATCCGAGCATGGATCTGAAGGACCGAAGGCACCGCTCTCTGACTAGAGGCCGTTGCTCCAAAGAGTCCCAGTACAACACCTCCTCCTTGGACGCAGACGAGTGCCGCGTGCCGACCCAGAAGTCATACAGCTCCAGTGAGACCCTCAAAGCGTTTGACCATGAGCAGAGGCTTCATTATGGTGGCTGTGTGACTGACCTGGTGCACCATGAAGCCGATGAATACTCCAGGCAAGGTGGGTTAACGGAGCAAAAGAAACCCTCTCAACTACTCCGTGATTCCGTCAGATTTGGGGCTTCCTTCATGCTGTGCTGACAGGGATAATTGAGACGATATCAGGTCATTTAAGGACACCTCCGTAACTTGTTTAATTTAATCCTGAGAGTTAGGTGGAAGCAAGGGTAGGTTTTGTGCTATGCCGTAGACCAACGATATACTTACTTTTTTACCATGAGCCAATATTAACAGCCATCGCCACTGCCAGCATGTTTGTTCACTCGCTCTCCAGACTAAGCCACTAATTAGAGGCTTCCACTTTGGGGCACAGTATCAAACTCAGACTAAACAGAACGTCAGGATTTGCAGAACGTAAACATGGACCATGTAGATGATAATGGAAGTAGAAATTTGTTTGAGTATCCGTTCACGTTTGTACATAAACCTCCTTTCACCTTCATTTTGCATGCATGTCTAGCAATTTTACTTTCATGCAGAGCCTCCCAACCAATGTTCAAAACAAGCACAAGTTAGACATCATAAACATGCTAATCATTAGAATAAGTGTTTTCCTGGCCTCAAGTGAGGAATACTTGAACTGGCTTCAAATTTGAAAGTCTGTCCACCATACTTATAAAGTTTGTTCACTTAGCTGTTTTGAATTTGAAATAGTGAGTTTACGGAGTTCTATTTCAAAGTAAGGTTTACATTATGTACTTCAACAAAATGTTTGGAATGTTTCATCTTCATCTAAAACTTATTATAGTTGACTATGCTTTTTTCAGTCTTCCACCATCATTCCCAGATATCGGCCTCTTTGCTGAGCCCATAATAGACAGTAGCTCCAGCTACAATCATGGATCAGCTAAACAAAAGTAACATTTTTGCTCAATTAAAGAAAAAAGTGAGCGTTGAGCATGAGTTTCTTGTAGGTGCCCTTAATGAATGACTTCCTTATGTAAATAATGAGGGCTGCTAACTGCAGTTGAACTAGAAAGCCTTCCAGTGCTTTGTTTTGATCAAACATAAAGTAGACCTCATCTGCCATACATTGCACACACAGTGTTACGTAACTATGGAAATGGTTTCAAGCTCTTTTCAAGGCAGTGTTTGTGTTTTTTAAAGGGCTTTGTTGAGCTGTTAATATAATCAGATGCTCTAAATGGTGCCAAAGCAGACCTTTTAGCACTGGCAAGGCTCTCATAATGAACTTCTGTATCCCCCCACGAGCAAGTTTGCCAATAGGCCGATAGGTCATTTCTAAAGGGATGGGTCAGCTCTGATAGTCGTCTTTAAAACGTGTGCCTGTGTGTGCGTGCTTGTGTTTGTGTATATGTGTGTGCATGTGCATAGCTTGTAAAGGGACATGAAACAGAAAGTATTGATTCTTGGCTAGTGAAAGGAGTCAGACTCAATGGGATTGATCTCTGCTAAGCTCTGTTTTCTCTGCATGGACACAGACAGAGGGGAAGCCAGCTCAAAGCAACACTGTAATGTGGAGCGTAGGGTAAAAAGAAAAAAGAACACCAAAACCCACCTGAAAAATAAATAAAGGTACAGAGCAAAAAAGTCCTTGATGGTATTTTCCAAATGGAACACTGTCATTATGGCTTGAAAAGGGAAACTTGCTGCCAAGGTTTCATGTCCTGCTGTGTGTGGTTTCGAGAAATTACAGAAATGGATCAATCTGACTGTAGCTCATGGAGGAAAATATTCAACAGCAGTCTCTCAAGGGAGCGACGCGTTTTAAAGAATAGAGTACAACAAAAGAACATAGTGCTTCGAAGGCAAAGGTAACAGCAGAAAATTGAGGATTGATTGGCAGAATCCACGATAGACTAAAAGTCAGTGGTGTGTGTTGCTGAGACACACTCCGGTGCTGCTCTGAGCTGACCTCACACCAGGCAAGAGCTGGTCGATACCACAGTCCTCTCAGCCTATCGGCTTCATCGAAAGCCCAGAGCCACAGATGCATCGTGGGAAGTGTGGCCACAGGAGACCAACAGTGTTGCAGCACCATATGGACTGTGACACTATGGGAGGAGGAGGAGTGTTGGAAGGATGGGGAAGGAGAAGGAGTTAGTGAGAAAGATAGTGTGAGAGAGGCAGCACATAGAGTTTTTCATAATCTTTCAGATACATATTTTTGTAGCCAATGCAGGAATGAAACTGTCTTTTCTTTAGAATAGCTTGAAGTTTGGGAGATTGTAAATGAGGACATTTTGTTTGAGAAATGGAAATGTAGGAGAATGATTTAATAAAATATTCCCTTTGTTCTATTAAGCATCTAACAGATGGTTTGAAGGATATATTTGTATGAACTGGACTGGAATATTAGTTTTTAATAGCTAATGGGACCACATAAAAATATGATTCACTTTGATTAAATTGCAATACTGTTTTTGTTGTGGTTGGATGAGCTATCATTGCATTTATGACGATTTCTGGGAAGTTTCATGGCCAACTAAGGCTATTCTCAAAGTATTATTTTAGATTTACTGTACTGTGATGTGTTAATGCACATTGACTTGCCCTTATAGCTGCCATAGGATTAATCTTTTATCAGGTTCAATCATCAATACACATAACACAACACAAACACAGTGAGTTTGATATTCCTGAAAGGCTAATTAAGACACTTACATTGGAGAAGACTGATAAATATTCATGCAATACTGATATTTGCATAGACTTTTTTTTTTCTTTAGACATCTTCATTATACACATTCTAATCCTATAAGCACATATACTACATTATCTAATACTGAAGGTTAATAAAGTCAGACAAAGCAGCAAGTTGGGATATAGCCCATGTTGGATGGAAAACATTTATCTTCTATTAATAACTTTACATTTCCAATTTTGCAGACAGGTATATGATTAGATTTGTTTGTTTTTTGACAACTTATGTGCTAACTGAAACGTGACATACTTTAGCGTTGAGTCTTAGGGAAGGTGTAAAAAGAATATCCTCATATTTAGGCATGTTAAGTTCACTAGAGTTTCAGTGTTTTGAGCTATATATTCAGCACAGAAAAGGAGAAAAAAAATCTCCTTTCTACAGTATACTTAAAGTGAATTTTAAGCCTTTCATGAGTGCAACACGCTTGCATTCTTAATGAATAAGTCTCTATGCAATGCTATCCAATATCTGTAGTATTATAGCATGCTAATACGCCCACTATACAAACATCAAACATTTCACTTACTATTTATTCTACGTCTGTTTGAAATATTACATAAAGTTTTGTTCTCAAACAATGCACAGAAAAACACTGATACAATCAGTCCACTGCACCCCTTCGAATCACCACCTACATATTCAGGTTAGTTCAGTTATATAAGTTCACTTGACTACTGCATCCAACAGAGGCATCTGACCATTTCTGACTATTCTTACTTAGGTTATATGGCTTTAAGGCTAAAATATATCAGCCCTTTCTAGTTTTCTGCCATATCAATCCATATTTATGTACTGTGTGTCCACAGTGTTTCTTTGGATCAACGGCGCTTTTTGAACGTGTCTGCATTCCCTGAAAATTCTTCTGGGTTAAATAACGGCAGAGTAACAGCTTCATTAGCCCACAACTTGAGAAAAACATGTTTATTTCAACAAACAAAGACACTTCCATGCCTTCACATGGGGTTGTGATAAGACAAACTGAATACCGTAATCACACAGGATTTAGCAAGTCCTAGACGAGCCCAGCGTTCGCTTTTTGTGAGAATCTTTTATGAAGTTAACAAACTCAGTCAATGGAGGTGAGCCCAAGCTTCAGCTGTTTCATTAATCTATTTTACTAAATAAAGAAAACTACACATGATATTACTTTGTAAGGCAGCTGGTTTTGTTCTAGATCTGTGAAGCTGCTAATCACAAGGGAATCCCAGCTTCCAGAATACAAAGTTTGCAGTGTGAGATATGCAGCTATTTCTGATCAGTCAGTGTCATGTACTACAGTTAATGATTAGCTTTCTGGTGTGACGACAGCTCATTGAAGAGGTCAGGATTAACAGCATCAGTTATGGTGGAGACAAACTAAATCTTTAATAATAGAATGATAGAAAACCATGCTGAGAGCTGAGGAAAATGTGGGGCTTCTCTTCTCTTTGCAACTGACTTTTGAGCTAATTAGTAAAAGGTACCTCGTGAAAGAACAAACTAGCAAATGAAAACAAACCTTAAGCTGAGTTGATTTGTGTTTGGAGAATGTACATAGGAATAAATGAGTGGAAAACATTTCCACTAATTTACAGAAAAAAACTGTTTGCTTGTTTGAAATATAACTTGACACCTGTAATGGGGAATGAAGAGACTTGCAAATATATCTAGCCTGGAAAATATCAGAATAACTTCAGAGCAGCAATTTGCAGCCTGGCTTGGAATACAGTTAAGTTGCTGAATTGGCTGAAATCTTCCCAGATATGTTACAATTTCATGTATATATCTTGAGATGAAAGCCATTCCTCGGGATGCTGTATCTAAATCTTCCTGAGCTGGATGCCTGCTGCAGTTTCTTGCCTTATTTCCTCTCGTAAGGAGTAATTTCCATAAGGACGGCAACTTCTTTGACTGAATTACAACGACAAGCTTCGTAATCAGTTAAACAGGAGAATACGTCGCTTTTTGCCCTTCTTTTTTTGAATTTTCTCTTTTTTGCTTCTTTCACTTCAAATTTTCTTTGCAAGTGATCAGAAAGCCAACTAATGACTGATAATATACAGGAGAGGTTTACGGTCTCGCGCTGATTAAAGGTAAAACGCTGTCGGAATGTCCAACACATTTTGTAACATCAAAACGTGTGATTGAGCTTTTGCAGATATGTCAGGCTGCGTATCTTCATATATCTGCACATTATAGATAAGCACTTTTTCAATGTTGTGTGTTTTCGGTGTTCCAAACTAGCTGTCTATAAATGCTCTGCAGAGAAATTACAGTCAAAGCTTAGGTGGGTCTTCCAACAGACCCCCCACATTCATTGCATCTCAACTCCACTGTTTCCCTATTAAACACTTATT